TTTAGTTTCCGCAACTAGTCTATACAAGCTGGTTGTATTTATAGTTTTAGCACATGTGAAGATAGAAATGTAGAGGTTTACAAACACAACGTTTTTGTGTTTATTTGTTTGTCGTAACTATGTTTTGTATTTGCCTTTGAAAAAGACTCATTAAGAATCGAAAGCGCTTAGGCTAGTTAGTTACTAGTTTCGTACTCTTCGTCGTCAGTTTATTGCATCTATTTTAATTAATCCCTGACAAACGTGATCCCTTGGTGGATCCAGTACGCTTGAGAGGATTGTTATTCGCCATATGATTTGTATTCTTTATATATATATATATATATATATATATATAAATATATATATATATCTATATATATATATATCAATATATATACTATTGTTCAACATCGCTCATTCCAGACCGTCTGGGGTTTTTTGTAGTCACTAAGCATCTATATCAGAATTGCAATTTAAAGTCAGTCCTTACTCAAGCACATAGAAACAGGGTAAAAGAAACAAACCGTTGGCATATGCGTATGGAAGGAAGTACGACTGTCATAAACGTAGTCTTGCAAAACCGGGGAAGGAAAGCTTGGAGACAAGAGACAAGATCGGGAACCACGATAAGTACACCCCCCAGCTTCCCCCCGAAAAAGAAATAAAATTATATTTTTAGGAAAAAGAATCTTTTAAGAGCTGATCATAGTTATAAGTGAAAACAAATGGAGACATTGTTTTATTGATATAATTTTAGTCCTTCAACATTCTTGAGTTTGGAACAGTCATTACTAAAATTAGCACATGACTCCTTAGTGCGGAATTGAATGCACACATGCAGGTGCAAACAAATGCCGCGGGTCATACCCTTTACTCTACACAGAAACTGACATTCAGGTTTCAACTATACTGATAAATATAGATTTGATTATGAGCACTCATAAATTTTAAGTCATTGAATTTTCAATATCATTGTGTTTGCATAGGTTTACGATGGGAACTGAATTAGTATTACCGTGCGTCCTTTATTGAGTCACGGCTCAAATGGAGGGACACTTCAAATGTTGTCAGCTATCATATCTGTGAGCTTGAGAGGTTCCCACATATAAAGAATAACGTTATGGAGAGGACCTGTTTAGATTCACGTATTCATGCGGCCAGTCTTAGCTAACTTTTGTGACTCTGTGAGACAGTGAATAATTCTGTACAACTGTAGGTAGCAGGATTAGTAAAATAATTAAACAAAATCTCAACAGTCTGAACTGTTCAGTACAAATGCGTTTAAAATTCTTAATACAATATGCCTTGCACTACTGTACACAGCTTTTGTGTGATTTATGCACTGTGCATGCAGACTAATTCTCCCTTTACCCATTCGACTCACGAAAACTTAACCAAATTCAGATCATTATTTAGGTATAATGGGTAGTTTCTGTGAAAAATTTTGTGTTAATACTTTTATAGTTAATTGCTACGAATCAGTCAAGTCTGATTATAGCTGATTATCGGAACGATGTAGCACGCGTTGTTGGCTGTTAGACATCGAGATGACAGTGATAATCTCCAATCATATTAAATAGCATTTGGGATTGTCTGCTTCTGCACCAGGTTAAGTTCAGCGTGAGGGTGGGGTGCTCTCTCAGTGTGAACCGCTTTGTATTAATGTGTGGGATTCCTCCAAATTTGATATTCTTCTATGACTATTTTGGTGAGTATATTTTCGCTTTTTACATGGCTGCGTGAATGTAATTTCTGCCTTCTAACTAAGGTGGGTAGATGTATGGCTTAGTAATGGGATCTACCAACGGCGTGTAATAGTTTGAAGTCCATTGTTTTCATTCGTCCACGTATTGGGCATGACTTTGTTCAAAGCAGAATCCGCAGTTAACAACATCATAAAATAGAATGATCATTTTCAAACAAAATATTATCTCCAGTTAAAATATGAGGCTTAGTGACTACAAAAATCCAGACGGTCTGGAACGAGCGATGTTGAACAATAAAATGACGAGAAGGCGGAAACAAACTGACTAACTAATTAGCAATGCAATTCAAGATTTTGATTGAAAGACCAGGAAACAACCAGTATCAGTTTTACATAGTAGAGGAATGTTATATCCTTTTTACAAACTTACGTTTTCTCGGTAATTATTACCTATTTTCAAATGTCAAAAGTTTGAGCACCACCATCCCCCAAAAAGTTGCTCTTTTCTTAGCCATCATAATTTTGGAACTGGGATTAGAAGCCTTTAATATTGACATTTTATTCGTACTAACGTTGGCTGTAGAAGCAGAATGAGTGGTGAATAGGTTAACTCTTGACAATAAATATTATCGTTTTGTGAGTGTTCAGTGGTTTCTTTACTAAGCTGTGATTAGGTATGCATGGCAGAGATTAATGTTGCAATTGAGTGTTCTTGAGTTATTTGCACTTATATTTTCTCTTACGAGTAGTACTTTCCTGGATTAGGCAGTGGATTTAGTAACTCCAGGGTAATGACCTATTTGGCTTAGATTAAGGGATGTTTGCAAATAGCCGCTAACAAAAGATCATCGGAACTGAACTCAGATCACAGTTAATTTTCCTATATATCCTCTACATTTGTTTATCAGTACTGAACTTTCCACTGTGTGCCAATCAATACAAGTCACATGTTAAGCTAAATTAACTTCAAAGATGACTTCCCGGTGAAGTTCTTGTTATAGGTTCACCGGCATTCTTTAAAAGGATGGACTGTAAAAAAGCAATGTGGAACGAAACTCACATTTAACTTCCGGATCATTACCAAGGCCTTATTATTCATTATGCACTGTTACGAAAAATACACAGACAACCACACCATAAGCTCATATTCTAAAGAATAAATAATTAACTTTTATATCCATATAAAGAATGCCTAAATCTATCTCTTGTATCACCACCAAAAGGAAATAGGAACAAATGCTCTCAAAATAGACTGGGACTACATTAGTGAATACTGAACCGGAAATAATAATTGTTATCTGTTTCGATCGTAACCCACGGACAACAATCTGCAATATCCCTATATTAACCGTGGATGCCTGTTCAGATATTCCCTTTCTCCATATGTACGCGTAAGCAAATACGTTATTAATAACGCAATGAAGTTATCTTCTACACATTAGTAAAAGTGCACGCATTTAGGACAATTCTTACCTGTGTTTGAAGGAGAATTTTTTGTTGGTTTCTTCAAGGACAGCGAAATATCATCTTTAAGCATGTTTATGCATCTTCATTACAAACGAGGTAATTTCAGGAGAGGTCTTTAGGGAGCGTCGTAGGTGGTTTGTGACGATGAACTCTTGAAAATAGCTTTTGAAGCCGAACGTTACACACGCATGTAACTCCACCAGAATTACCTAGAAGATAGCCTTTGATTAAATTATGTATTCGTGAACGAGAGAAATAGGTTTCGGACGTATTCCTTTTCAACATTACCCCTTTCATAGCCTACGAATTATGTACATGACTCAGACCAAATTTGTCAAGTAACCAGGGCATATTCTGTTGAAGGCAACTCTTCCACGTCATTGTATTCGGGTTATCAGGTCTCACAGTTGTCACCTTCGGTTATACTTCAGCCTATTTTGCGACCATGGTTTTGTTACAGTAACGTTATGGTTTCAACCAAGGTAAGTTATGCGGCATGACATCCACTTTAACCTATATTGTGTCATTTTTAAAAGTAGACAAAATAAGTGAAGTATTTATCTACGCATTTCACAATTTGTGTGTGCTATTACTGTATGTTCTTTCTTTTCTGTTTAAATCGAAACATGAAATTTTTTTTATTTCACTCCGTTTTGAAACTGTATGCCATTATATAATATTTGTATTGATGGTCTGCATTTCCAATTACGTTCCATCCTCGCCCTCATCCCCACCCCGGAATCCTGCGCGCTTGCTAGTACATCATATGTGACTTGGAGTCGTTAACGAGTCTCTGGATCATTGGATAACGTGTGTCAGAGGATGATGTATATGCAAAATACATACGCTTTCGTGACTTGTGTGCGAGTTCCATTCTCAAACAAGCAAGAACAAAATTAAATAAACAAAGCAAACAAACAAGACAGTTAATATAGAAAATGTTGGAAATATCCGTCATGATACTTCCTATTTCCTGCAATATGTAAAGGTCGACATGTATATTTATGAGCGGACTTACAGGCCTATTCTTATACGTAACGAACCGTTGATCTCGCTGTAAGAAGTGACCTGATTAAAGAAAACATTACAAGTACAGGGTCTCACTGCAGTATGAAAGTAGCACTGTTTTAATATTTTTATTTTAATTCGCTGTGTATGTTAATGTATGTACCTTTGAGATAAGACTATTACGAATACTGCTACTATAACGATATTTCATGTTCTTTGATCTCTCTCTCTCTCTCTCTCTCTCTCTCTCTCTCTCATGCGCGGGTTCATTCCTGTATCATAACTTGCATATTCGAAAAGTAACTTACCTTTGCAATCTTCTCCGCACTTTCTTCATTTTGAACTCTCTTGCAGCACGATCTACCCAAAATTTACCTTGGGATATGAATACGCTAATAGTTTTCCTCCTTCCCAGTGTTGTCTACATCTTTGAAGATGTATATGTTAATAAATTGTTCAGCCAGATTATGATACATGTATCTCTTCCATCTGTGTATTTATAAGAACTCTTAAATAAAATAAATTACTCCATTTTTAATATTGACATAAATTGCAATAGCCTTTTAAAATTACACTTGATTGATATGCAAACTATTGATTTCCCTTTCATTGGCAGTTTACCGCGTGATGATGTTTACAGTGGTAAGGTTAAATAATTGTAACAAATATTAATGTCTTGTAAAGTTTGTTCTGACATTCCAGCATAAAACTCAGAAGGATATTCGACTCGTTTTCAGTCTCTTTTGACTCCAGAACATATACCGAGCAAACTTAATACCGAATATAAATATTTACAGTAACGGTATACCATGTATCAATAACCGCTCCAGTGGCCTAGTGACTCAGCCGGGGTTAGAACCCACGTCCTCCCGCATTTGAGGCGGACGCTCTAACCACGAGGCCACTGGAGTGGTCCAGAGGTTTGTTGATATGCGCACGAGAATAATGGGTCCAGTTTTATGTATTAGTACACACAAACCACAACCCACACAGAGTTTTGTCGAGATAAACCAGATCAATATGTTTTAACATGATTGTTCCAGAACTGATTTTACCAATTCTTTTTTAAGACATGACAAAAATCGTATAAACCGAATTTGGTTACTGGCTGTTATTCATACCACCCTCTTAATTGGCGTGGGTTGGGGTTTAAATTTATACTAATTAAACGCAAAAATAAATTTTGACTATAGCAGTTCACTCCACTTACAACCGGATTAATCTAGAATTAAATTAAAAACATATATATTTTAAAGATTAAAGACTACAAAATAAGAGCTTAATAAGTCAAAGGAAGAAAATAAAAGAGAATTTCAAATTAAAAAACGAAAAATGAGAATAGGAAGACCGACAAAACAAATGAAATTACAAATATAAAAAGAAGAAAGGAATGGTAATGCAGCTGATATTTAAAGAATTAGAACTGGCATGCAACCAACATTCATCTCGTAAAGATTCAGTGTTTTGTGTTACCAAACATATGATATTAGTTTTAAAAAGGTTAAGATCAATATTCTACACATTTATTTAAATTGGACAAGAGAGCATTTTAATCTGTTACTACAAACAAAACTAGTGAATTATATACTTCACTGTCAGTAAAAGCATGTGTTGATCATGGCTTGTCCAAGGAATATAACTTAAAGGGTTGAGATGGTACCTAAGGCATATCGACAAAGGTCTCAGTATGGCAAAGAATAGGAAAACACCGCTTGCTATGGTAAATGAACAACTTTATGACAGGTGGTTCGCTTCTAAAATGATTGATGAAAAATTATGACAAACACAAATAACTCATATTAGTTGAAGAGTCCAAGAACTGCATTTATTGTGAAGCCAGGACCTACCTTGATGAGCACCATGTAGACACTTTGGACAACGATGTTCATAAAGCTGAAGACCATTCATTGACTTACAAAGTTTAATTTTTCAGTAGGTGTTCATCTCAGCAGATGATTAGTAAGATCATAATCAGTCGCTAGCGAGTACTAAGAATCACAAGTCTGATTAGCCTACTTAAAAATCTTTATCTTTTTAAATGTGCATTTATTGTATGAATGTGTGGCAGAATAAAGATAGGAAGAATAAACACAACACTGTACCAAATGTTCTTGCTTCGAATGTCATGTCATGGTCATGTATTAGAAACAATACATATTTTGTGTGAACAAATCTAAGTCTGATTTTATTATGGTGAATTATGAGCAATTCATTTCGAAAGATTCTATATCACTTATTGCTGATTCGTCCGATCCTATCCCTATCTAAATATTAAGAAAACAAGAACTTTCAATGATAGCAACGAAATACTGTATGAGATTCATACAATACATGAATCATACAACATTCCAGACCACAAATGGACGATTATTTTCTGAATGAAACTAGAAACGAAAGTATAAATTTAAAACAATTAAATTCAATAAATAATTACAAACCTACATTAATGAACGTATTGATGCAATTGAGATTAATCTTGTGCTTTTTTTGTAACTCTCTTACTAAATAGCCGACTCTATATCTCTTTCTATGACCCCCAGTTTATGCCCCACGCATCTCAGACAATTTGTATATGTTTTTCCTGGTTCCAACCACTGGCTTCTCTCAGAAGCTTAGACCGACTATTTTCGCGGGAGAGATTACTTAGACCTGAATTTTGTCAGGGAAATGCCACCCGTAGTTTAGTTTATTTTTTTCAATCAGGAATAACTTTAGAAATAAGAACAATTTTCTCTAGACAACTTTTATTAAGTACTAATATGTAAAATATTATTTTATGACATCTGTTTCGAATGAATCCCAGATATATTTGTCTCTGGCTTGTCTAATCTTTACAATTTCTTTATACATGACCTTACTTTAACATATCTGTATCACTGTTATCGAACATACTCTAATTAAAATAAATTCTACCCCTCCCCTTTAAACAAAAGTTTCAGGTGATCATTATTAGAACTGAAGCCACAGAAGTACCCATTAGTTATTCTGTTAAAAATAGTGTCAATGTGAACATATTGAGACCACCTGAGGTATCTCTTGTGACCAGTCGTCGGTAAACTCTCACATTTTCTTTCCAAACTCGTACTGTCGGTAATCTCTTAGCTTGGCCCATTTACCTGCTTTGGGCTGGTTGATTAGAGATCAAAAGTGCTTATCACAAGACCTTCAATCACTTTTACTGTCCAAAATTAAAAGTGATATTTGTAAATAGTGTAGATCTTGACAAACGTGTCAAACCAATGCTTGTTGACCATAACCTTTTCGTCAACAAGATTTCCTGAATAAATTCCTTTGAGAACATTAAAACTAAAATAATAGCAAAAGGTTTTATAAAGTCTTTAACACTCTTTGGCCTTCCCAAATATGTCCAATCTGAGCAACGGCCACATGTCCTGCCTGGAATTTTCTCGCAAGTTCTGCATGAATTAGGTATCGAGCAATTCAAGTCTTTGGACTTTCATCACAAAGTCCAAGTGGCTTTAGAAAGATTACATCAAGCTTTGAAAATATGATTAGGTCATTTTGTTTTGATACTGGCAAAACTTGGGACGATGATGATCATTTACTGTTTGCTTTAAAGTAATTTGTTCAGCAATCCCTTTGATTTAGTCTATTTGAACTTAGTTTTGAATATACATTCCATGGACCATTGAATTTATTAAGAGATAAACTTCTCTGAAATGAAGATACATAATTTAATTTTTTAAAATTGTGTATCTAATTTTGAATACAAGTTGAAATTAAAGCATGATAAGAATACAAAAGAAAGGAGTCTTCAGCTTGGTGATATAGGTCTGGCTAACTTGCCCATACAAAATATTCATCTTCAATCAATATGTTCATGTGATTTATGCGATGGTATGCAATGGGACTAAAAATGAGGGAACCAATTTTCGTATTCAGATGTTTTGAATAAACTGGACCAGAATTTTTCACATCTGCAGCAACAAAAAAGAATGAACTGAAACAGGATGATGCCAGAATATGAACACTTGTTTTTTACCCTAAAAAGTAAAGTCTACCAAGACGTTGAAATTGTAGATTCCAATCCTGTGAAACTTCCTCTCTTCAGGATGAACCCTCTAAAACAAGAATGGTTAGAAAAGGAAATTCAGCATTTTGTTGGAGAAAGATTTTAATTAACTGAGTAAAGGTGACACTAGTTCACCATATATACTTGTATCGAAACCAGACAATAATTTCCGCATGTGCACTGACTAATTATACGATGCAATCTAAATGATGTTAATTATACGATGCATCGGTCTAAATTAAACGTCTGGAGGCTTTTGATAAGTAAAAGACCATATTTAAAAGTACACCAGTTCTTACAGCTCCAAATTTACGTCAATCATCTAAACTGTTTACTGATGACAGTGATTTTGGGATTGGTGCAGTACTGATTAAAGAAAACAAAATGGTGCTTATCAATTAGTGTGCTTTTTTCTATGAAATTAAATAAGCATTAGAGTACACACACAAGAAGGATTGTTTGGCTTTTTTTTTAACTTTGCTACGCTGTGTAGTGTCTATTAGTTCAGCTCCTTCTCCGACAAGTTAATAGCATATGCACTTTCACGTTTAAAATAAAATAATAATTGTTTCATGTATACTGTGTGGCATTCATACGATGTCATCTTAATTTTTTTTTTATCACGTGTGAGTTTGACTAATAGCTAAAGGAAAGCTTTATTACATAAATTTTACATTATCTTCATGGCGATAAGTGTTTTGTATAATTTAATTGTTTGTTATTTTTGTACCTTTTTATTTCAATATATGATAGTGCAATGTAACATTTTGTCTAATTGCGGCGCTGGTTAAAAATCCGTGACAATTTTGTGAAAAACGTCTCTTTTTCTCTTAGTGAGGATCAATAACTAGACTAGGAAATTTATTTTTATAGACTGTCTTGGCGATACTTGTCATACGTTTAATTGTGATTTTGATGAGAGAAATTCTATTTATAACTATGATCTTTCTAGAACAAGTTTTGAACCTTGACAGTGCTTGTGAAGAATTTATTGTCAGGAAGTTTGAAAATGGTAACGCCAGGATACAACCGGAAAATATTTTAAATGCGCATCATCGAACGTTATACATTAGAACCACTGGGAGAAAACAACTTTGACATCGCTGTCCAAACAGATGTTGAACTAACTTAAAGCGTCCAGAAATTCGGGGAGCTTTCAGATGTCATAACCATAAGCATATTCATCCGCCGTCTCAAGTTCTTGGAATAATGTGCCAGAAAGAAAATCCACTCCAAAATCAATGAAGGCAATACAAACTGCAGTTGGTAGTAAAGAATTGGTTACTGAATAGTCAGGTGTGTGTTTGTACATGTTGTTGTTGTTGTTGTTGTTGTTGTTGTTGTAGGGTTTAACGCAATTATCAGCACAAGATAGGCTATACATGGCGGCCAGTATGAATAGTGGAGGAAGAACCTGGGAAACCGCTGAAAAACTACCGATCCGCGAGAAGCTGATGGCAAGCTTTCTCACATACCCACACAGACCGAACCTGAGACTCGAACCAACGCAGACAGAGGTGAGATTGCAATGATCCGTAACGGTGAGATCTTTATACCACCCTGCTTCTAGAGGCCCTGTTTGTACGTCTGCCTGTGTGTGTGTGCTTTTGTGAGTGTGTTACCCATTAAGTGTCAATACTAAAGTAATAATTTCCCATACATACGTCGCTTCTCGTATGTTAACCTTCATAGTTAGGTAATAGTTGTGCAAGACTTAAGGTATGCGTGTGCATGTAATATCATTGATTAGTACACTGGACAGAAAGGGTTGAACATATAGCACGCTAAACAAGGGAATATATTATAATTTCTTTTGCAAAATTTTCGGCTCTTGCGTTTAAATGAGGCACAGGAAACATTGTCAGAATCGATGAAATAAGCA